ACAATATCCCCAGTGATGTTGCAAATGTCACCGCAAAACTGGATTATAGTCACTGTGTATATTCTGTATAGAGAAAATTCAGCAAAGCAGATTATCTTGTGATGTGAAATGATGCTTTTGATCTCTAGTACAGTCCATATTTAACTGAAAAAAACTTAAATGAAGTTTTATGAGGTTAATTTATTTTGTCAGAAAGTAGAGATTTTGAGACAAAGCAAAATTTAAATAACACACAAACCAAAATATTAAAAGGAATATAATACGTCTACAGCTATCACATATTAGCAAAATTGATCCAAAGTGCAACCAGTTTTCTTTCCAGCACATTCCCTATAATGGGGTTAATGTGCAAGTGGCGGCCTCCATTTATACAGAAGGATTTTTATTTTTAACATCCCAGATTATTGTACTTATCTACTCCTAGAAAATATGCACTGTATAAACATATCCTTTATCTTGAACTTCAGTATTTCTGTGCTTCCATGAAGAGTAAAAACATCTGGTTAAATTACTATGTGCAAGTACAATATGCAGGCAAAACCCTGTACGAATTGCATCTAAAATAAACCACGGCTTCGGTTCTTTTTGCTTTTCCAAATGTCCGGCGTGAGCAGTCTGTTGAAATCGCATCCCTGATATGTGTCAGCACGATGATAACTCATGTACCAAGCCTCTTTTCTGAATAAAATCAAGTTCTGTTCTTGTTCTGCAGCTGCCAATGTTTTAAAGTTTAATTCTGCTATGTGTGTTCCCCCCAACAAACGCCCCCCAAAGTGGACTGGCACAAAGTGTTGCACAGCAGCGGCGATGGCTCCAAGGGACTGGCTGGACGGAGTTGTCATGTGTCTGCCTGTCTACACTTGCTGTGCAGAACATCCTCTCACCTGTACAGCAGGCACAGACAGGCAGTCGCATGACAACCCAGCCTGAGGGACAGCCGCCAGTGGGACCCCGCTCTGACAGCCCAGAGCATCCGCAGCACCAGCTCCAGCCAAGAGTCGCTCTGGACCTCAGACGGCCGGTCAGTCACCAAGCCCAGAGTCAAAGCAGCGCTGCCTGTGAAGTACAATAAAACCCACTGCTGAAATTCTTACTGTGCTTCCTATAGTGCTCTTTTCCTAGTTGTTCTCATCAACTCGCTACCAGTAATTTATTTATTAGGAATTTATTAAGTGATTTATCCCAGCCCTGCGGTACCTCCGTATGTTCTGTCCTCCCGTTTGCTTCCCAGGCATCACTCGATTCTTGCTGTATAAAACTCCCTGACACTCCTGCTCGCCACAGAAGCCAAGAGCAGCTTATTGTGTGGCGAGTTCATTCTGTAAACATACACCATGTCAGACCTTAGAGTAACTTCTCCCCTTTCCACTTTCTCACCTCCTCACTTAATTTTGTCATTTTGCTCTCAAATCTCACATAATTTTACAACAGGGAACTGTAAAATTGTAATACACAATTATACAAAATTATAACACAAACTGTGTCCATCACCGGATGTTGACAATAATATCATTTACTACTGGAACAGAATGGAAATATTTTCTTTGGAAGTAAGACTAAAGGAGATTTTTCCCCACCAATGTAAATTTCACATTTTAGAAATTCTAATCCTGGAATCCAGCTTGGCATCCTTTCTCAATGAAATCTCTGGATGCTTTAGAGAAAATAATAAAACCACATTCTATGGCCATGCACTGTAACAATACTACATCACTTTACAAATGGCATCCATATCTTCACAGTAAGGAGGTTTTTTATTCACAAGTTAGAATGACATTCCACATTCCCAAAGTCTATTTCATCCTAATGCAGAGTGGCTAATTCACAAAGTTCAGATTTGCAGGATGACTCTCAAATGAACTTTAGTTAATGCTACTTAACAAAACAGTAACAACTGAGAGCGGAAAATGCTCAGATTTAATTATTTGTGTGTGTAGGTGTGCCTTATAATGCTTCAGCTAGGATTACGTGGAAATATTTACAAAATAAATCTGTATTTGTGAGGTCACTGAGTGTGCTGATATTGCACTTGTATACAGCAGCCTCAAAGCCAGCACACAGAACTTTCCTTGCTTGGTTTTTAAGTAGAAAAGCACAAAGTCATGGTATTGGTCACACAGCAAAGTTACAAACAGAAGCAACTGCATGCAGGATCAGAAACTAATCCACGTTAGTTCTCACAGAATGGATACTGTAACTGCTCTAAGCAAACATCAACCTCGAATTTCCAGCTACAAGTCTAAAAAGGATTTTTAGGCACTGAATCCCTCTCATCAGGAATAAAATCCCGTTGCATGTTTGACAGCAACAAAACCATGTGAAGAAACCTATTGTTTCTTTTCTAATACAGCAAAATCTGAAATCTTTTGTCAAAGCAACTTGTTTCTGAATGCATTACACTGTGGATTTATCACTTACAAAGCTGCACCTCACAAAGGAATTTGCATCCTTCTAAAGGCACTAGCGAGCCACCACCAATGATTTTGATCTCAGAGCAAATTCCAGACTAGAAAGCATGCTCAGCTTACACTAGAGGGGGTACACAGCCCTGGAGGCCCCAGCAGGCACCGGAGCTTTGCAAAGCACATTGGCAGAGCTGTGTGGCACAAAGCTGCTGCAGCCTTGGCTACGGGCACAGGGGGCACAAACTCCTCAGCAGGGCAAGGTGAGAGCTGACCCTGCACCTTCTCCAGCTGCCATGGAAAAGCTCCTGGCCAGCCCGAGCAGGAGCTGGGGGCTCTCAACTCCCCTCGAAGGGCACAGCCAGACACACAAACACAGGAATCGCTTCTCACATCTCACTGGGGGAAAACACCCCCAACACAGCCACTCCAGCCATCAGCTGAGAAGCCTTACTGGTTTTTCAGTCTTACTGAGAAGGTCCAGAAAAAAAAGAAAAAAAAAATAAAATAAAAAAAAAAATCAAAAAATCATAACTTTATAAACTCTTTTTCAGGACACAGTAATCAAATTATGCAGCTAATCTGTATTTAAGGAGCAGCTTCTGTCACCAGCAGAGTATGGAATAGCACTCTGCTATTATCCTATGCTATTATCTTCTTACCATTCTAAGAAATTCCTGAGTGATCTCCTATGGCCTGAATTAACTACTGACATTTTCATGACTCTCAAAACATAATTGTTTGGCAATTAAGAGGCATTATCTTAAAATATGCATATGGAAATCACACAGTGGCCATTTCTTTCTGAGTATTTTCATGAGCTTCCCAGGTGACTCCCCCCAGCAGATTATCAAAACTATTTAATTTTAAAGTTGCACAGCACAAAACATACCATTATGATTTTCAAGAATTTTTGTATTTCATGCTAAACAAAAATCAGATTAAAAAAAGCAACACTACAACTACCTAAAAAAATTGCCACAGCTTATCTTGCATGCACCTCCAACTGCTTGAGACAAAATACAGCAGGTGTGTTAATTTTGCCACATTGCTTTAGTTAAAGTTGCCTGGATCTTACCTAAAAAAGTCAGTTCTAGTGACTTCAAGGTAGATCACAAAAAAAAACTGCTTCAAATTTTCAAATCTGTAAAGTCACTTTTGCATTTTTTTCAAATTCTATTTCATCAATCTGAGAGTAAAACTTCCCCTCTTGACACCTGTCCCTTCCCCTCTGCCTGACACTGGTTTTTCTGTTCCACCAAATCTGAATCCCTTTAAAACTTAAATGAAAAGGCAAGTGACAAAATCTTCAAGATTAACCTAATTTGTCCCTCTGCCTTAAGGTCTATCCCAAAATGACTACAGACTGGGGGAAAAAAACCCATTTGTGAGCAGCACAGTTCCCACCCTCAGCAGCTTTATGGAAAGATTTCCACATCCTGGTTTTGCAGGACTTGGGAGAGCTCTGCCTTATGCACTGCAGGCCCTCTTCCCAGGGATCCCAGAAAATCCACTGCAGTAAAACACCACATTAGATTAAATAGAATATGAATCTGCACAGTCCCCATCAACCTGTTTTGTTGGGATCAACCAGTGTTTTGATTATTACTTACAGTAAGATGAAAAGATTGAGTGATGTTTTAGAGCTCATTTAATGCTTTCTCTTTACCTGTGCTTCTTCCATCCATTGGTTTGCCTCAAAAATCACTAATTTCTTACTAAAAAGATTTCAATTTAAAAAAAAAAAAAAAAGGATGGGGGAAATACCCAAATAGGAAATAATAGGTTTTTGGGTTTTTTTTTTTAATGTAACCCTATTTTTCTACACAAACATTGAAACTCACAAAGGTTTTACCATAAATCTGATAGCACACATAATCCTGTTTCAACCTTCAAAATACTGCTGGAGTCTTGGATAAAATGTATCATTACACCCATTGTTGAAAAAGTCATTAAACAGAACAGACAAGCTGCCTAACAATGTATTCAAAGTGAGCAATGTGGATGTTCTTTTATTTCTGTATTACTTACCTCAGATTTACTGATCACCCATGAAGGTGCATTTTGTAAAAATCCACACCAACCAGCTACAGATCCCTACAGATGGGCTTTTCATCTTCTCAGAACACATGAGCAGAGAACAGTTGTTTTTATTAAATCAATTGCTGTAGTTACTTTCAGAAGTAACTTTACTCAGATAATTTATTATCAGCTTGCAGTAGGTGTACAAGAGCAACCCAAGCAAGGATAGGACAATAAGCAGAATATTTCAAAACAGCTTGGGATTTTTTTTCCTTTTTTTTTTTTCTTTTTTAAAGCAATGTGTGGAAATCACAGGAAGAGAAGAAAAAAGTAAAACAAAAATACCCCACACACATCACACCCTCTATATTTGTTATCAGCAGTTCCATACAAGTCTTAGACAATCAGCATTCTCCATGAATCAAACCAGAAATTTAAAGAACACATCTAAAACCTTAAAACAATCTTTTACTTCAAGTTTACACAAACTCATTAAATATTTTGATATCAGAATACTGTATTAATACTGGGGTTTTCCCCAACAGAAAAAAAAAAACCCAGTTCTTCATTCCTTACCTCATCATCTTTATACCAGGACAAGCTCTCTGCAGTCAGAACGAACCAGTATTCCTTGGATCCTCCTTTCATGATGCCAATGTTGTTGATGGTGAGCCAGCCTTTCCGGATGACCTATGCAGGGGTGCAGTCAGGTACAAGTTTAGCTCATTACTCACTTGACAGAGTTCTGCTGTTGAATTCATTCATTTAAATAAAGACTTGCTAAATGAAACAACAACAGGTGCATTTTTTCAGTCTCTGGGAAATTCAAAGAGTTTTTGCAGGTTTCTAGCATTGAAAACAAAACAAAAAGAAGAAGCAAGGTGAGTATAATATTTTCAGTCTGAAGGCTGGAGAAAGAGAGAAGCCTAACTATGAGAATGTTGTGCTTACAGCAAGTGTGAGTGTGTTAAGGATCACGTAAGCTTGAAGATATTTATTTGCTCTATATGAACACAGTGTGAAAGTCCACACACAATGTGGATCTCTGACTACACTGTTCTGCTGTAATTGTAAATGTCATTTCTAAAGGTGGGTACCAGGAAAAGCACCTAAATTCTGGTAAAATGAGTGGCTTGTGACACACATTGGGAATTTTCAGAAGTGGATGTATGGAGTGACAAAGGGGAGAGTTCTCCTAAAGTTCAGTTAAAATTAAGGCAAGCTGTAAGGAGAGGCATGTGAGAGCCATTTTCTTTTCATAGGATAGAAGAGAAAAAGTAAAGGGGGTAAAAAAAACAACCTTAGGTAGCAATAAAAAACAGGGGAAAACAGGTAAAGCAAAATTTTGTAGAAGAGATACAAGCCGAAGATGAAAGAACAGATGGGAACATACCTATAAATACTAAGACCAGAAGTCTACATCATGCACAGAGAAAGGGGGACAACAGAAACCTAAGAGAAACAGACTCCACAGCAGAAGAGCATTTACAGATGAGATGGAAACTTTCCATTTTATTGGAACAGTGACCGTTTTCCAATATAAATGAGAAAGCAAACATTCCTTTCTATCATGCTCTGGACAACAGAACTTTCCCAATCACAGATGAAAGGAACCTCAGCTCTTCTCCTTCTCACCACAGCAACACCCTTCACTTGTCAATGAGATATTGAGACAGAAAAAAGTGTTCAGAGAAGCTCTTCAGAACCTCTCATTAAGCCCCACAGGCACTGACTTGTGTGATCAAACTTGAGTTTCCTCTTGTGTTTAAATAAATATATGAGACCAACATCCTCTCACAGGGCTTGACAAGACCAGTAACCCCAGTATCAACAAGTCACAAAAGAGGAATATGGCTCACCATGTATTCTTTGTCATCTATTAAAGTTTCAGAATCAGAATTCACCCTTATTCAGCCTGGATGATCATGTAAGCTCCTAAAAAATGCCAGCTTTGGTTTTGCACAGGGTAAAGGACTGAATTGATAACTAAACCAAAAAAGTTGCACCTGAAAAGCAGGAAATTGTATTGGGAATGCAGATAACCCAAGGGTATCAATTTCATTTCAAGGAAGATAAGCGTGTTTTCCCATTTACTACCAACCAGCACAGCAGGGTAAGAAAAGATGATCCAAAAACCAGACTGTAAGTTTTCAGCCTGTATGAAAATCTCTAAGAAAGAACTGATTTGAGGGATGAGAGAACTGGACACGATTCCTGTAAAGAGACTCAAGGGAATGAACAAGCAGATGAGATGGGATAGGCTGTTCCACAAAGATTTCTACAAAAGTGGGTCAAGACTTTTAATATTTGTGTTTATTGGGAGGAGGAGGGGGAACCTAAGTGGAGAGGGGCATTAGTGAGTACAAACACACATGGAATGCTTGCCTAAGTGCAAGTTAAGGGAAACACTGATAAGAACTTGATTACCCATCAAATCCTCATTTTATTTTATGATGTTTATTGAAGTAAGATTTTAACAGGAAACAAGTAACATATATACACAGCCAGTGTACTGGCCTGCAGGCAGCTGCCACAGGACAAGTTGTGGAAACAAACTAATTCTATTTTTTCTTTCTGCACTGAACTATAAAAAAAGCAAAGGGGAAAAAAATTTGGGGGAAAGCAACAAAATTAAGGTCCTCCATTCACTTGAACTTAGTTCTGCACCAATGAGAGCTATTTTTGTGCAACAGACTAATTCCTTCACAGCACATGTGCACATGTTCCCATGCTATAAAGCAGCTGTAATAAGAGGCTGGGAGAGAGGATGCTGTTGAACCACATTGTCTGCAACTGAAAATGCAATGTTGCTCCATATAAAGCTCTTATCCACACACAGGAAGCCCAGGCAGCCTGGCCAGCACCTGGTTTGGAGAAAAATGTTTTGGAGAAATATCTCAGGGAAGAGAAAAGATTTGAAAACTGAAAATAAAGAAGTGGTTTCTAGTAGCAAACCAGGCAGGAACACCTAAGCAAGAGGTTCAAGAACCATACAGGTGATGAGCACTTCAAAGGGAAGGGAAGAACTCTCTGCTTGTTCCATCCTCTCCCTCACCGCAGGCTCTGTGACAGCTTTGTAAGGGTCCAATTTTCCCAATTTGACAAGAAGGCATTTGTGGTAGAGGTCTCAAAGCAGACCAAGACAACATTTAAAAAACTAAATTATACAAACCATTTAAGAAGCACTGAAGGTTTCAGTACTACTAAGGCAGGAATTGTGTCATGCTCCAGCCCAACACATCTCCCCATAAATGTGCAACTATCACGGGGTTTGGACAGAAACAAGCTGACTTGCTAGGACAATCCCTGGTCACTGTCTCGTAAAGGAAGGAATTTGCCAGTTGTTTCCTCAAAAATTCTGTGTGCCAAGGATTAGATCCAGCTGTCATTCCTACACTACCCTGCAGGAAGAGCAGGACACCAACCTACAGTGATATTCTGGGTGTGTGTTTTTCGTGTCAAATTTCTAGACCTGTTTATCTATACCCCTCTGGGAAAACAGAGTATTGTGTTCTGTAAAATATCCTGGACTCTACAACAGGTGATAACAATCTAAAATACTAGGAAGCTGTTCCAGGGGACACCAAGAGGGAGAAGATGAGCTTAGTGTGCTAAGCTTCATGTCCTTTTCATTGAATTTTCCTGTTTCCCAGGCACATTCTGTTAACTATAAAAAAGCATACCTTACAGAAGACTCAGCATCAGTGTTAGATGTAAAGTAGTGGGAGATGTTGGACCAAGGTGCAATGCAAGAAAAAGTGAGATTAAGGAAAATAGTTTCACTTTCCAGAGAATCTGAATGACATCTTAGACTCTGGCCAAATTCTCAAAAAAAAACCCCAACAAAACAAAAAATAAACCCTCAAGCCATACTTTAGAACTGTTTCTCCACAGGCAATAAGAAGGAAATATTTTCAAAGACACTTCTGAAGTTAAAAAAACCTCTGATAGAGAGTTATTATTTTGGAGTTCTTTTTAACTGTTGTGTTAGCTATGTTTTATAGTACCTCTGCTTGGAAAATGAAAGCACTGTGTTTCATTATTGTTCTCACTAGTTCATTTTCTCACTGGCTTGTATCTAAGAGATACATTTCACTATTTTCTATCATATTTCTAAATGTCATTCTGTGCAGAGCGGATGCTAGTGAAATGAGTTATGAACCTCAGGAAGGTGAAAAATATGGGCACAGCCAGAAGCTACTGGAGACAATATTCTGACCGGTAGCTGGACTCCATGCACAGGATGAACAAGAGATGACACAGTTCCTTCCTTCAGGATCCTGATACCTAATCTGGGTGACTGAAAAATGAAACTTAAGAGCCTCTGAATGCACATGAACAAGTCAGAAGGAAATAATTTTCTCATAGTTCAGCTGCACAAAATCCAAATCATATTTGCTGTCCTTACTCTCCACCACTTCATGGATAAACAGGAAAGCAGGATTTGACACAATAAGCACAATTTATGTGTTGCTGCATGACTTTAATTGTATTAAATCAAATAAGGCATTTGTAAAAGAAATATATTTAAGGAAATGGGACACTTTCTGATTCTCTAAAGAAGTATTTGAAGGACGATTTCTTGATAAGTGTGATACATGAAATTGGGCAAACACAAGTGTGAGAATCATGGGACTGGACACTCCCACAGCACCACAAGCAGCAGCACTTGTTAATGTAACACCATTAAAGTTGTGTTGTGTAACTCCAGTTAATAATTCTGAACACAGAACACAAATCCCAGGACCACTCTACCTTCCAGTCACTGTCATTACAACATGTGCTACCAAACAGTAAGCACATCGAGAAAATAAAAATCACAAAAAAATAGTGAAAAAAAAAATCCTTAAAGCTGTTGGTTCTCTGGATTCAGTCATGAAGATCCTCACACTACAGAGGCTTTAATGTATTAGAAGGGAAATCTACTACAGTATTTCACTGTAACTTGCCAAATGTCACTGCAAAAACAGATCAGATCTGTTCTGATACTGAACATAACCAAGATCTTGGGACATTGCTTCCCTAGAAATCACTGCACAATGTATTGCACAACTTAAAACTAGTGACAGTGCCTAAAGTCCTAAAAACATGTCTGCTCTAAAGAAAGATTTAGTCTTCTAAATTTAATTCTAATTTTTGCTTCTAATCTTTAGGAGCAAAGCTCTCAGGGGTGAATTGAAATCAATTTCCAAATATACTTAAACAAAGACTGAGGTAAGTCAAACATGAAGGGACATTAACCTAAAAAATAAATAGTTAAAGGCCATCTAGAACATCAGTACTCCCCCAGACTTGATAAAGTGAAAATTCAAAACCAGCAGGTCTCATGCTGCTAAATTTTGAAACATTTTTGAATGTGTTAGCTCATGGCTACCACCTCTTTCACAGAAATACTGACATTTCTTAACAGAACAGCTTTGTCATGATTTTTCAAGACCACCTCACTGACCACGGCACAAGTCTCCACTTCCTTGTCGTTGCTTAAAAAAATTGTATAAACATTTTTTCCCTGGGTCATGCAAGATAAAAGGATTTAAGTGTATCTGAAGAAAAGAAACAGCAAAGTATGCTACAAATTAGGATTAAAAGGAAAAAAAAAAAAAAGAAAAGGAAAAAAGGGTTACTAGGGGAAAAGTTACTTATTAGAACTTTAGAACTATAGTTCAGGCCAGATGATGGGGTCTGAATGCTACTTGTGTCCAGAAGAAATTAATCAGAAAATTAATCAGATTGTTGGTGTAACACTGAAGAGAGGCAGGTCAAACAAAGCCCTCAGACCCAAACCTCCACATCACCTGGACAGTGCCTTGAAACTCACAGCTCACATTAAGCCCCTTCTCCAGTTACAGGGCTACTAGTAATTGCAGCAGTAGTAGTACAGATATTCTGTGGCAGACTTTGCCACAGAAGAAAAGCACAGAATTTCCTATAAATTAGATATAATCCTCTATAATTTGAGTGTCTTGCATTCTCACACACATCAATTGGGCACATGGAGCAATGACACTTTCACCTTTAAAGCTTTATCGTGAAGGGGAGCTTAAAACATTGAATTTTAGTCACCAAAACCAATCTCAGCACACAACATATATAATTAAGAGTGGGTCAGCTTTCAGGAGCCAAACCTTGCTGGTGTGCTGTGTAAAACCAAGCATTGCACAGATTACTTCAAGCAAATGAGAAGACAGACTAACCTGTGGCTTAAAAAGAAACTTTGTGGAGTCAGGTCAAAACCTCAGGCGGTAGCAAAGAAAAGACAAACAAAAAAGGCCAAAGATTAAGCGTGAGAAGATAAATTAGTAGTAGAGGAAAAAGGAGAAAAACATGCTAAGAGGAATTTGCATTATTGTCCAAAAATAAGGTGTTGCTGTGCTTATCTTATTTCCAAGATACACAGAAATAGTTAATAGTTATGTGCATCATTCCAGTCCAAAGCAAGCTACTGAAAAAGAAAAGCAAGGTATTGCAAATGAGCATCCCAGTATTTTGGGAAAATTCAGTGATCTTGATCTCCCCAAGGGGTTCAATTCAATTGCTGCTAAAATCAGTGTTGCCTAGTCCTTTTTCCATAACTGAACATAAGTTTTGTTTAAAATGATAACGAATACAATTTGATGATGTGGCAACAAACTGAAAAAATGTACATTTTTTATCACAGATATTGCCAAAGAATACACACAATACAGAAATTTATTTCTTACACCTTACCATCACTGAACACTGTAACTTGTTATAAAATTAACTGCAGTTTAGACAATTAATTCTAATTAGTAATATTAAAGACATTCACATATTTATTTACTCATGAAGTGGAGGGGTTAGAAAAGAGTCTGTCCGTGATATATTGATCCTCCTGGTGCTATGAAAAGAATGCTAAAAAGGCTTTAAATATTTTCATTCATAAAACTCACTTTTTCTATCCAAAGTAATACCTTGACATAAAGAAACCACCAAGAACAGTACCTGTGTCCATCAACAGCACCTTCATTTACACCAGAGCTAATGTTTCCTTTTGGTTACCAGAAAATTATTTGCCCACCTTTCAAAGAGAGGTTTACTATGAATAGAGGCATTTACATCAGATAAAAACTGCTTTCCAGTTATATAATAAAATCAACACAAATTAGTCGTTTCAGTTGGAAAAACTTGGTAAATTATAAAAATATTAATTAATTCTATGCAAAGTCTTCTACAACATTTTAAGTTATACTAGCTCAGACTGGTAACAGCAGGTTAGTAGCAGTTAAGTGATGAACTGCAATTACACTTTGTTGAGGAAGTGTTACAGACAAGACAGCTTAACATTAAATTGTTTAGCAGCAAGTATTCAACAAACCAATGAGTTAGAGACAAACTTTGCCCTCTGAGAAGCTAAATGAAAAAGCAACAATAAAGCTTACAGAACTTAGCTCGTACAATTTGCCTTGAAGGCGGTAGATTGGTTCCCTGAAATAGCAAATTGCAAAAATGAAGTTTTATTTCAGAAACATTTTCTCATTCTTTTCAACTCCAAACAATCAACTTACAAACATCTGTTTATTATCTCTACAATAAAAGGTTCAGCAAAGTCCTTTATACCACAAGTAACCAAGTTTCAACATTGAATTTAAAACGCCAAGCTTTTTCTTCACTTCTTTAGAGAGAAAACATTCACTCAATTAAGAAATCATTCATTTTATTTGTGTATTTTTGAAGAGCCAGATAATTGGTTGCTTTTCCTTTTATGGGACACTCCAAAGTGATGACAGTCGTTGTGTTTGACACATGTTCCGGCACAGCTAGATAAGGAGGAAATCTCTCCTCAGAGGGGAGAGGCTGCTCTTTGAAGCCATTGCAGTGTTTAGACCTTCCAGGGTTTTTTTTTTTCATTTTAATCCAAACTATATATTACATCAAAAATGCCACTCATGCTGGTCAGGCTGTGGGGAACCATCACATCCAAGAAGCTGCTGGATTATTTTAAGAAATATATTGCAAATAACTAGCAATTTCTTGGTGAGAGGAAGAGATTGAATTTCTAGCTCCAAAAAGATGACTAGAAGTCTTGTCTACAACAGCAGCAGAATAGGAGACTTTCTGAAATTTCATGTTTATCACTTGGATTTAAACTCAATGGTCACATTTGAAAACCTTGATCAGGAGGTAAAAGCTCCTGGGCATTGTTTGACTGAATTGCAAGTAAAAACATCAGGAAGATGTTCAATATTGGTAATTACAATTAAATTAAAATTTCATCATCTTATTTTTGCCATTATTTTTTATTTCATTCTCAATATGTACTAATTCCATAACAATTTTTTTTTCTGTTTAAGACTTTGCAAAAACCTCAAAGTGAGCAGAAACTCTCCAAATCATAGCACTTTCCTAATTTTCATCTGATATTAAGAAGAGAACTGATCCTGCCAAGTACTCAGAACCCCTGACCCACACAAAAAGCAGAGAAGGAAGGCAGGCTCAGGAGCACCAAGCACCTTGCAGAATCAATCCCACATTCTTAAGTTAAAAAAAGAAACAATTTCATTAATGAATCTCAGTGAAGATGATAATTAATCTGAGAGCATCATCATTCTTTGTTTATTTTGAGAAAGGCCTATGGTACATAGTCAACAACTGTGTGATGTCAGCTGAAAGGTTCCAGAAGAGGAAAAGGCAAATCCACATTTGCTTGCTGACTTGCCCTTCACTGCTGTTCAGCTGTGAACACATCAGGAGTAGCAAAATGCACAAAGCACACACAGGCAAGTACTCACCAGCATTTGGGATCCTGAAATTCACAAGTTTGCAGTTAATGACAAAACACCGATATGCAACATGAGAGATTCAAGGCACTGAACAGCAGGGGAAGGAAGACACTCAGCAGCAGTGCAAGCAGCAGCAGAAATGCTAAACAGCAAATGATGGTAACAATGGAAGTCAGGTGGCTTTGAAAAGTTCAGCAAAACAAGGCAATGAGGACACATTTATGTATATTTGAAGCAAACAAAGCTAAATGATATGCTTAAAACAGAAAATGCAGCCATGAAAACCAAACAGCTTGGATTAACTTGCACATGCCATTATCCATTCTCTGTTAGGTGCCTACCTGATTTCCCACTGCACTTTTGTTAACCTGACTGCTTCTTTGTTGGGCACTAAGGGAAGCAGAGGAAAAGAGTTATGCTGAAGAAACTTGAACTAAGCCAGTTCCTGAGGAATAATTTTAGCAGTAATAGTTATTTTTGATTCCAGAAGAGAAAGCTAGGTTAACATAGCAAAAGAAACACAGGAAAACCATTGCATATAGGTGCATATTTCAACTGCTTTTCTGCCGGATTATATTTGCCTGCTAAGGACAGAAGGGACAAGCACAGCAGACAGTTCCTACCAGTCATCTCCTTTGCAGTAACATCCTTCTTGCATTGGTAAAGGTTACTAAAAGCACAGGGAAATTATGGCTCATGTGGGTAACTTTGGAAACATTAGCCTCTATAAATATTCAGAAGAGACAAAAAGCAAGCCATTTCTGTTATTTAGAGCAGTACAGCAAAATCCTCCCCTGCTGGAGGCTCCTTAATAGCTTTGTCTTGACAGTTTGTTTTGGGTATTATTCTAATATTTATATGCACTTTGAGAGTGTAAATATAACCAATGGATGAAGCCATCATAAAGCTGGTTCAAAGCTGAATCTTATAAGAATAGAGCACATTTGAAATTAAACCATATTTAAAATATTTTGCTCAATTCTTGAACTCTGGTAATCCCAGTTCCTGAAACAAAACACACTCCTGTCTCAAAACCAAACAAGTTGCCATTAATTCTAAAAGCATTTGCATTATGTGGCAGTTTGTTTTAGGCCACAAAATTAAAATATTGCTGGAAAGAAGAAGAAAGGCATTCTGAGAGTAGGCTTTGGCTACTCAGCCACCAGTACTTCACTGGTGACAGGAAGTTTTGTTTGGATTAGATTATACCATTTCACCAGGCATTGATTCACTGAAGAAAAAAATATCCATATTCCAGCAGCTCCAAAGGCTGCTCTGACAGAGAAAGGCAGAGGGGTGTGCTTGGGTCAGAGCCTGTGGCCAGTCCTGCTGTTTGGTGCTGCTCCAAAGGATTGAGAAGCACCCAACTCAACCCTTGTCCAAATTCTAATCCTGCCCTTTGGACCACACTATCAAACCAGCAGTCCACATGCTGTCTGGGAGAAGATCCACAAGGATATTTATTCCATCTGCCTACTCTGTGTTTAGCTCAATCATCCCAATCCTTTTAACCAAACAAGACTGCATGTCCCTGGTGCATCATCTAAGTTCTATAAGCTTTGATACATAAATTATGATTAAATGAAATGCACACAGAAAACACAGCACTAATCTCTAGTTTGTTTTCTTAATTTCATCACCTTAGAAAAGCTAATTATACCATTAACACCATACTAAGAAACCCATGTCTTTTAGAAATAGCCCAGCAATTGGTCCTCTACTTAATGTTCTAAATACAAATTACTCTTTAAGTAGATTGAAGCATGTAGCTGTTCTTAACTTATACCAACTGGAAACAAACCCAAGCCCAGAATTTTGTCATTTGTTCTGCCAAATGAGACAAACATTAATATTCTAAAATTTTGCAACTTTATAAATATGCAAATTTGTTGTAAACACTGGCATGGTTAAAGCCCTCTCAAGACAATTCCCATTGCACTGTACCTGCCTCAGGTCCTGTAGTGCTGCAGGGTAGTTTGTAATGTCTTGTGCTCTCATTCTTATGACCAAGGTTCACAGGACTTAGACTGTTACTGCAGCCACATAAGACAGGAGGCTAGAAGGCTCAGCAAAGGAAAGGAAACACCAGGGAATCTGGGGAATCTGTAGTCCAGGATGTTTAGAAGCCCCTATGCTACCCAACTTACTTCATTTTCCAGTTCTAACATAACTGCTGTAACAATAATACACTTAGAGCTTCAAATTAGTATTTTCAACTGTTTATCTCGTAAGTAAATATATTTTAACTTATTCTTTGTTATCCAAATTTTCTCTTTCAGTTGAGCAGCAGTCAACAAGGCTACTTTTCTTCTCATCTGTTCCAACCTTGCTTAAACTTATCAGTGAACTTATGCCAAGAGTTCACTTACTATCTGCTTATGCCCCATACACAGCACTTAGGGATTTCCAGATCTCAGCTGGCTAAAGAAGAAGCAGCTTTCCCAAGAAACTGAATTCCAATTGTAAAGACACAGCAGCAAGGACCATGGAGGGTGCAGGAGCAGCACCCCTGAGGGGAATTTTTCTAGGGGAGAAACATAATGAAATAGCTACAGATACACCTGGAATTCCAGAATCCAATACTATAAAATATGGAAAGTTCCAACTTGACACAAGGAAAAGTCTTTTCATAGTGAGGTGAGGCAAGCACTGAACAGGCTAGCACAGAAAGGCTGGAGGACCTCCCATTTTGGGAATTCTCCAGATCTGATTGGACAAAATCCTGAGCAGCCTGGTCTGAACTCAGCATGGCCCCTCCTCTAAGCGGGAGGTGGGACGATACAACTTCCAAGGTCACAACACACACCATGAATATACATGGAGTGTTTTTAGCAGCCTTTTTCCTGTCAGAAAAGGATGAAGAGTAGTAAATAGCAGGCAGGTTGTTATCTTGACCTCTAGAAGGCCAGCCACCATTCCTACAACATCCTGTCATTTGTCAAGAGAGCTGATAACAACATCTAGGACCCACAAACAATTCTAGAGAAAGTTGCTCAAACCAAACATATAAACAGTGCCTGGCTTTGCCTTCTCCCCTCTCAGCTTACTGAACTCCATGTTTTAAACCTTCAAGGCACACTGCCAATGATGTGGACCTTCCTTCACAGTGCTAACTGGAATTGGCCAACAACATCCTGTTGTGCCAAAATTTGTTGCCAGCATTTCACAGGGCCAAAACCTGTTGTGATTCCAACTGCTCTTATGGCAAATATGGCATGAATATGTCTGAAGGAACATTTATTCTTCAAAGAGTGAAGACATCTTCAGTGCTTTTACTAGTGTCAAAATGTTGGTATGAAGTCCCTGAGGCACAAATTGCTGGAAACTGAGGGAGAACATTCTGGAAAATATTCTCACAGCCTTTTCAATTAAGCGAAGAGAACGTCAAACCAGGCCCTGCAGGGCATTCTGCTACTATTATTCTCTGCAGCCAAACAGCAGGCACACTTATAATTCAGTGACATCCATTATTCTGAGCAAAACTGTTTCACACAGAATCACAGCTCCCAAAGTATGCATTAATAACAATGTGGAAAGACCACCAATATCCATTTCTGTGGTCCTGAAATACATGTGATTCCAAGACATGAGCTCCAGCTCCAGTGAAACCAGGCTTGTGAACTGGGTGAAGACTCCCCTGCAACTGGGAGAGAGTTCAACATTGTGGCTATTGAGAAAGAGCATGGTCCTGCATGTTTGGGACTCTACAGCCTGGATCTTCACTGTCACACTTCAGGACTTATGTTCTGAACTTAATAAAAAAACCCTAAGCAAATAAACAAAAAAGCCTGGAAATGTCTTTATAACAAATTTTCCATATACTTACTTTGCAAAGCCAATGAAGTCTTCATGGTTGGTGTTGATATAAGAAACCTGGATATCAATGAGCAGCAGCATCTATTATGGGAGACAGGAGAGCAAAACAGGATGGGTAAGGTGGAAGAGAGAGATTGAAGAAAAAGAAGGTAGCAAAAAACCCAGAACTCTTGAGTTCTCTGCATTACTGAATATTGTTTTCATAATTGTTCAAGCCAAAAGCAATATTTTTTAAATTCCACCGCTTCTGTTTCTGTGCTTGTTTAATAAGTTAAGACTACAGAAGTCCTATTCCCTCTTCCTACTTTTTTTCCTAACAGACCTCATTTTTCACTCTCTTGGCTCTTGTCCATTCCATTAAGATCAATCACACATGGGCAGAGAGAATGTTAATAACAATATAACACAGATTCCAGCTCTGCATTTTGCAAGTTAAGCAAATTTCTGCCTATCTGGAGCATTCCAGCCAAGCCAGCAAGGTACCTAAACCTTAAACCTAAAATCCAGGTACCTTCACTTTCTTTATGTATCACACAAAGAAGTGTAAGTAATCCAGTCCTGGCCCAGAAAATGTCCAGCCCAGGTACCAGCCAGCCATTCTGGTGTGCAACATCTGGATTGAGAGATGGGCTACCAACAAAATAACACAATGGTTTGTGTACTTATCACTTGTCAGTCCTTCAGTAGCCCAGAAAGAATTTGATTCAATCTTGACAATCTAACTCAGCAAAGAACTTGCTGAAATATCAGCAAAAATTCCTTCCCACGCTCCAACAGGCTCTGGAATATGCATGAGACTGCACTTCATCCCTGTCTTTTCAGACTTCCAAGGAAGGAACCTATTGTTACCAAATGGTGGCATTTAATCTCTTTAACCTTATTTCTGCACAGTTCCTCAAATACGGCATCACTCCCAAATTCTTCACAATTTCCAGAAAATACCAGATGCCTCACTTTGACTCAAATCCCCACTATGTTTTTGCTCCATTTCTTACCTCTGAAAATATCATCATCTAACATCATAAATAGCGATATGAATGTGACTATAACCTATTTGGTCCATTTTTGGCATTTACAAAAAGCCTGTATTTTGTTCTTTGTTCTAAGAAATAGTAAGGTGTGTAACACACAATGAAGAACAGGAAAATAAAACTCAATTATTTTAAACAACTTGTATTTTTTCCAAAATTTTGAGATAACAGTGTTCTGACTAGAACTCCCTGCAATTACAAGCCCAGCTAATAATTTTTTTTGTTAAATTGTTTTTATGACTACATCTGCAGCACAGATCAAAGCAACAGGATGTGCTGCACAGCTCCCTAACTTGCACAGGGACAGGACTAGGGAGCCAGGAGTACAGAACAGCTTAGGAGCTCTGCTGAGCTCTTCTTCCCCAAATATTTCTATTGTCACACTCTGCACTCTCCAGACTTCACTTCCACTGGATTTACTCACATGTAATCTCAGATTTGCAGTTTCCTGGATTTGGAATGTTTGGCTGAGTGATGAATGCTTTAACCAAATTTCTCTGAATTTTTATTTGTTTTTTAACTTTTTTTGAACTTGAAGGGAAGCCTGCCACTCCCTCAAAGGTCCCAGTACAATTGCTTGTGAGCCTCATTGTAATTAAGGTAGGGATGGGTGCATGGGGTGGGTATATTAAAAATACCTGGAAATGAAGTAGAAATAAGCTGTTCCTGTGTGCATTTGTTTAATCCATATTGATTTCCCACAAATAGCTCTAGTGGCCCAGCTAAGAAATTGGCACACTGGCATAGGAACAAGACAACACTACTTAACCTTTCTGTAACAATTCTAGTCTCTGTCAAAGCTCAGTGGTAAAGCAATTTTGCTTCCTCTCTAAAATGTGCAGCCTATTTAAAAAATAAATAAATGAATCAAATCTTTCACTGTCCTACAGCACTTTGAGTGCAGAACTCTTCTCCATCACACACTCCCCAAACTGTCACATCTCCTATTTATTCTCACCTGGTCCTTGGTCTTCTCTTCTCTTTCACGAATGTAGCCAGCAACAATTCTTTCTGTTTCCTCACACAACCTTGGATATGTTGCCAACTGAAACACAGAATTAATAGAAATTGACAATTGCAAAGGGGCTTCAGTGGAATACAAACAGGGCAGCATTCAGCTTTCCTCTTTGGAAGAAAGCAAATATTCTAAATGCTTGGGACTAGAAGTCAAGCACACTGCAAAGCAAGCCTTACTTGCTGTTGTTCAGAGACTGGAGAGACCTAAACCCTTGGATTGTTGCTGTTCTTTTCCTCCAGGGAACACTGAGGAAAAGCCACTTTGGACATATGAAACACAGTCTATCTGGGGTGAGGTTTCCCTCTCTTCTACTGGGCCCAGTTCCAGAGTGGTGTTTTAAATGATTTCCAAATTTCTTGTTTTTTAAAGGCTCCACCTTGTGGCAACATCTTTACATAACAATACTGATCATAATTATGATAACAATAACAATAATAATAATATTAATAGAAAAAGCAAGACACAGTGGTAAATTTGGCCAATACCACTGGGAAGAGCATCTGCACAGTTAATTCAAGTGACATGTCTTCCAGGCTTTGACAAAAGTGAAAAAAACCTAGAAACTCTGCTGAAAATATATCAGAGAACCTGCTTCTCTATGTTCTTTGTCTTCTCAGTTTTAAGAAATATCTCTTTTACTTGCTCATTGGTATGAAGAATTTGGGTTTTTTTCAGAAAAAAACATCCCAGAATCACTCCTGTACTTACTGTCACGGGGTGCCCTGCACTGGGATGGAGGGACAGTCACATTAACAGGTGAGACTGCAAAAGCAGCCAGTCAGCTAAGAAGTGAAAACATGGTTTTAAGGAGGAAACTGAGGGCATCTCTTGACTCAAGAAACACCTCTCACTATAAGAATCGAAACAAAGGAATCCAAAAAAATGAACTTTTCCATCATTACATTATTGAGCAGTTTGCAGAAGTTGTAATTAATTACCTGAAGGAGTCCTACTCTGTCCAACAAGTGACTGAATCACAAATCTCTTGTAACACCATAAAATGCAAGACAGGCTTTCCATTATCCATTACATCTTACTTACATTACCAGATCTATGTGCAAGCTACCTTTTTAGTGCACTTCTTGACAGTGTTGATTAACTCTTGCATCACCAGATCCACACTTTTTAAGCAAGGTCCTTTCAGCTTAACTATCTGTTTTTTAACAATGGCTTCAAACGCCATATCTGGAGTGAACAAACCTGTTCTGTGGACATAAAAGAATATGTAAGACAGTAATAAAAACATCAGGCAAGGAAGTTTGGGGTTTTTTTTACTAAATTGCTTAAATCTTCATCTTCAGAGCTGAGTAATAACAATACCTACACAGACTTCCATATAACTAAACTTGCTTCCTTCTCAAAGCAAGTGTCATTCTGAGTAAGAATATACTCAGAATATAAGATTATAAGTAGAAACATGCTTGAAAGATGCAACTCCTTCAAGAGGACTGCAAAACTCTAAGGAGTACTGCTATAATGCAGTAAAGCCTCAGCTGCAGTGCATCAAACCTTAGGGATGAGTGGCAGCTGCAAGCACTCCATGCACAATCCCTTGCACAGCAAATCCCTAAGAATCCTATGGCTGCACTTTTCACTCACACCAAAAAATGAGGTTTTGTTACTCAGAGTCTGACATGGAGAACTTCAGAGTTGGTCAATGCAGAATAAATAAATCTATAAACAGCTAGCCACAGACCCAGGTCTAAACAAATGGGCCTTGCTTCTCTTTCAAATACTGTTCTCCAAGGTCTACCTTGGCAGATAAATTATATAAAAAAACAAACTAGAAAAGCACACCCAAAAGTATCATTTCACTCTGATAAATCAAGACCTCACCAGCAATCAAGCAAGGAAAGTTCAAGTACTGCACCAGTAGGAAAACATGGGAGCACTTGCCTGATCCCGTGTATGTTCTTGATGGCGTAACTTATCTCTCTCCGCAGTTCCTTCTCATTGAATTCCATCTAGGGGAACAGCAGCACGCAAGAACACATTAGGGGAAGGTTTTAACAAAACAGAAAATATCCCCTCTCCCTATTTAACCAGAAGACAAGCAATTTCAGCTGCTAAAATAGTAATTACTAATTACACTAAACAATGTGTAAGCATTTTAAAACATTTTAGCACTAAGGCTACAGGCAGCAGTAAATATTGTTGAAAATCACACCCTCTTCCATTCCAGATATACCAACAGCTGGAATGATTTTGAAGAGTTGACAGAGTAAGCCAGGAACAGGATTTGGAAGACTCCACTTTTTTTTTTTTTTTTTTTTTTTTGCCTGGTTTCATAAAGTGGTACAACTTCTGTGATTATGATCTGTTTATCCTCCCCTTTGCATTCTACAGTTTTCAACTAAATTTAAGAGAGGAGCTGTCTCAATTATGAAGGAATAAAGCTTTTCTTTAAGTTTCTTCGAAGCCAGTTAGGTGGAAGAGAAGTCAGTGCTGTCACAAATGAAAGGGTCATTACCTAAGTCAAACCATCACAGAATGATTTGGGTTGGAAGAGACCTAAAGGACTATTTTCCGTAACTCTTTTTAATAGATACCAGCTACTTGAACACAAGTCAAATTTACCAACTGTAACTGTTTGCCTGCCCCATTTAACCAGAAGAAAGATGTCATTTGTGATAAAACAATAGGAGAGCACAGAAAATAGTATGAACTGGGACTATAATTATATTCTAATTTTTGTATTTTAGAATTCTTAGCATATCTCAGTGTCCAATCCTAGAAATTAAGCCAAATGTCTCAATTGTAACCTCATGTAATTTCTTCCACAGTTAAAAGCATATTCTTTCAATCAGATCTTTTCTTGGCTACACTACTATCAGTATGAACATAAGGATACATAAATAAAATAAAGCACATCAGCAAGATGGATAAATACCTTCACAAGTTCAAAGGGAAAACGTTCATGGAAAATACGATTGATTTTGGCACCTCCTGAAAGCTCTAGCGTATCAACTTGATCTCCTGATCCTTCAATTCTTTTTTCAAAGTCCACTGAAAACTGTTGTACCATCCTGAATGTCAAAGGAGGGAAGGGAAAAAAAAACAACAAAACAAGGAAAACCCAGAACAATTTAATCATATTAATTACCAACTCTTATTTCAGTACTATGCAACTAGCACTGCCTATTCAAACATATTTAGTGATTGCCAAAAGTATCTGTACCACTGATTCAGCCAAGCTGCCAACCCATAGAATCCCTACCTACACATATCTCCCTGTACCCCTGCTAATAGCATGATGTGAATCCAGGGCTGGAAAATTCCGAAGAGACTGGAAAGGAACTTTTCCCCGTGCCAAAAGGCAAGCCCAAGAACCAGTACTAACATGGTGATGTGTCAGTACCACAGGCTCCAGCTTACTTGGCTCTGCTTTGACTTCTGCAGCAGGAGCATTCAGAAAAACCCACAGGAGAGTTCTCCCAGTCATGGAAAAGTCAAAGGTGATGTTCCTCTGTTTTTGCAACCAAAGCATCTGGAGTAAAGTCGTGAGGAACTGTCTACTCTTTTGGACACAGTTGTTACAAAAATAAGGAGTAAAGCAGAGTCTTTATCTGGCTCAAGAAAGCCTCTCTATTCAGCTGATTAATTTCCCCTCTGAATTCCAAAGTTTTAATTAGAGAATTAAACTGGCCCCAAACTTAGACATTATCACAATACAGTGCTGTTATCATCTATGCCAGAGAATTGAGAATGCTGAAAACCTCTGAAATCAGCCAGAGCAGGGATGTGACAACAGGCGTATAAGAGAGAAAAACTAGGTACATTTTACACTTCTTCCTTCACATGCCTCCTCTATATGAGGTAAATTTAATTTGCATATAAACACAGAGGGCTACAACTGAAGAAAAAAAAAGTGTGAGTGTGAAAATGGCAGATCTTTCAGGTGAAAAGATAGGCAGTACTGAGTTTCCAGCATTTCTGGAAACAGGCCAAGGAAGGAAGCAGATGCAGCAAAGCAGCAGGTGCTAACTGGTTTTCAATCCACAGCATCAGCATTGTCCTTTCTCCCTGGTGCTAAATCTGCAATCAAGATAGGGCTGTGATTCTACCTCCACTTGATTCCATGATTAACAGTCATCTCTGTTCTTTGTTATCAAAGTCTCATCAGACAGACTTATTTTGTGGATGAGACCCAAACCAGACAGTGACTTGAGCACTGAAAAAGCTTTCTAGTTTAGAACTGATGATGATAATCCCCAAGAATTTGCCTCCCTTCTTTCTGAAAGCACGCAAACTTTTACTGACAACCTCTGCAAAGAAGATTTGTGGGTCTTAGGTGCACAAAATAGGAAGGACTACCATATTTGATTAATTTTCATCTTGCCATCTCTAGGTTCTTTTGGACAGACAAATTTTTATACTAGATAAAGAATCATTCCTTATTCTTCTTCCAGCCTCCTCATCTAACAAACTTCCAACACAATGTCTCTCCCTTCCTTGAGATCATCTTTTTGGCAGACAGAAGAATGTGTCTACACAGTCAGAAGCAGTTTTTTACCTTTGATCATCTCTGCTGCCCATCTTCATGACTTTTCCTTGTTCTGCTTTTTCCCTATTCTAGGATTACTAAAATTGATTTAGGGAAAATTCTGTTGAAACTGTAGAATAAATAAAGTGTTCTGGAATATCAAACACAGAATTCTTTGGAGCTTGTGTAAAGAATCCTTAATAATATCCTAATGTTTATATTTAAACCAATAGAATGAAGGGGGAAAAAGGCAAAACAAACCCATTCAAAGTGAAAAAGCAGACAAAAGACACTCACTGCAATAGGGCTTTCGTTTTTCTGGTGGGATCTTCTGGTCTGAAGTTTTTGTATACCTCTACTTCATGTTCTATAGAGAGCAGTTGGCTCTGGAGTTTGCTTCTGAAGGCTGGCAGGGTATCCCGAATATGATTGGTAAGTTGCTAAAAAACAAATAAAAGTCTTTTTGAACTGTTAAAAAGATGAAAGCAGGAGCACAACCATTTTCTTCTGACTGCCAACCGTATCAGCCATGACCTCTGCTAGTTTACCAGTGCAGTTCCTTTTGATCTCTGATGCAATGGAGACTTAAAGAACAATCCAATATTCCTGGCACATACACATTGTAAGGAGGCTCAAAAAATTCTTTCATCCTCTCACTCACTGAGCCCTGTTACTACACACTTGTTTAGTTACACCTGAAAAAGTTACATATATTACATGGGTAATTTAAAATTGTCTCTCATCTCTCTGTGCTGATGCCACATTCCTGTTTTGCTGTTTTTCTTAAGGGTGTTTCACAATTCCCTTTGTATTTTTTCAGCACAACAACTCCTTTATGCTACAGCCATGAAGCAAAGTGGGAAAGAAAGACATTCTGAGCACCCAAAGCATGTTTTTACATAGCTAGATATATCTATATATGTTTTAATGTGTTAGGACAGCACTGTCCATGACTTACCTGTGCCATAAATGTCTCAGGTATTGTACACATTCCTTAATTAAAAGCAAACTGGACTTCTTCCACTATGCCCCAAAGCCTCTTCCCAACCCCAGCCAGACAAGCTATAAACTGTCATACACCAAAATATATAAACTCAAGTTTGAAGTTGCTCAGCAGACTGACAGGCACAAAATCAAAAGCTGGAGTTTCCCTGGAGCACCACCTTGTGGATACAAAAAAACTGAAATATTACCTGAAACCACAATAGGTCCCCAATACCTTGAGGACAGGACTTAAGTAGATCTTCCCATAAATAACATTCTACACACAGTAAAAGCAGCAGAAGATCAACAGTTCCTACTGAAGTAGGCAAATATTCAAAAGAAGCTCTTAAAAAAGTTAACAGCAATACAAGTCAGGACAGACAAGACAGCTGAAAGGTTTGTGCAGCCTGTGTTTCAGTCTCAAAACTAAGACATATGGATTAAACTTTCAAGATGTAAAACAAGGCAAAACATTCTAAACACAGATAAGAATGTAGGATACATGCAAGTTCTTGCATCCTGATGAAGACTTTGGCTCTGAGGCACAAATAAATGGCATTAGTAGTCTTTTTGAGCAACCCCAGAACATTCCATCGCCTGGCTGTCAAGTTACAGCTGCAAAGTCACTGTAACAAAAAATTAAGCAGACCAGCCACTTACTTTTCTAATTTAATCAGGAACATTCCAGCTGTTTCCAGCTGCTGTACAAAATGGAAAAAGCCAGGTTGATCTGGTCTTTGTCTATGCCAGAGGAAAAGCTACAATTTGACAGTGAGCTGGAAAAAACAGCATCAAGTTGGACTTGTAGGCAGCTGAAGAGTTAAATGTAACAGTTGAGGAATAGGATGGTATACTTCCAGGGAGGGAAACAAATCTTATTTCTGATCTTCATATTCAGTATTCTAAAGAACAGTGGAGTGCAGAATTGTCAGCAACAGTCAGAAACTACAACTCACAGCAAGCTTTTGTATGTTACAGGAAAGGATGAGTGAGGTTCAGTGACCAACTTCATTTCAATACAGTTTTTATATTGGCACTATCATTACAAAGCTGCCTTTCACCACAAAGGCTCAGGTTTTACCTGGTTCAGAACTTTCTGGAGATACGGTGTTCCCATCCGATCTGCCATGTGCCTGTAGGACGGGTGGGAAAGAAAGAATTTCCTTTCTGCTAGAAGAGCTGCCTTTATGTCCTTCTTCCCATCAATGTCTTTCTGGCTTCTGTTTACAACACCAATATAACCTAAAAGAAATCAAAACCAATGGGTAAATCAATTGCCTGAACCACTGAAGTCATCTTAAATAGAACCAGACTGTCTCAACTCAAACAAAACTTCCCAATTTAGGTATTTCAGATTATGTTTACAAGTAGAAAAGTAACCTTGACACTGTCTAAATTGTTCATTTTGTTTACATATAACAGAGAGACTTCCTTTTAAATCATCAGTTCAAATAAAGAAATATCTGAAACTCTGATGAGCCCCAAAGAAACCGCTTCAAAAATAAACAAACAAAAATCCAAAATAAAATTGAAATACATGTCTAGACAGATAAATTATATGATATTAACAAAATTTTTTTTTTAAAAATCTCTTCTCATTTGCTGGACCAACACGTTCCATGTGAGGAGACAGTAGTCTCATCAATAAATTATAGCTAGAATCAAAATTATTGATATTTTTAAAAGAATGAGCAAATGTGGCAGTGGTTGCTAGAACATGGAAAGTTTGTGGCAGGGATCAAAACTGGTTTACAATGAGATTACCAAAGCTCTGGTGCTTGTTATTGTCATATGCAAAGAAAAAAAACATTCTTTTGTTACAAGGAACCTGGCAAAGAAGAAAAATATTGGCTAATGACATGTGCTGGCATTATGCTGCATATTCCAGAGGAAGCAAGGATTTTCCAGGTCCAGAAAGGATATTTTTATCACAGTCACCCTTATGTTTGTTGAATAGATAACTGCAAAAGCAAGGAACACATCAAATCCAGCATAACCTGTGATTCATCTCCAGGACTCCTGAACACCACCCTTATCCAAACCTCTCTTTGGACTGCAAAGAATAAAGGCAACTGAACATTCTCACCTCTACGAAGAGGGAGGAGTTTGTTTTCCAGAACTTCTCTTGCATCTGTTCCTTCATCCATCAGATCCAGTTTTGTGATCACACCGATGGTCCTGAGGCCTGACCGGAGAGGAAGCAGGAGGAAAAAGTTATTGAAGAATCATTTAGATTCAGAAGAACAATTACATCTCACAATTATGTAATAACATATCTGTGCCCTTCTCAAAGCTATCACACAGTTACAGCTCCAACTCAAGTTATATGTCTGGAAAAGAAGGGAACATAATTGCCAGTGCTGAAATGTGTTCCTCAAAACTCCTTAATGAGGCTCAGCATCCCTACAATATGACTGTATAAAATTCATGATGTAATTATACAGAAATCCCATCCCCTATTTTGCCCAGTACTACAAAAATTCCCAGATAATCATTGCTCATAAGAGATCATGACAACATTTTTAAAATTCATTTACAGCAACATTACCCAAACAACACTGAGCTAACAGTCATACTGTGATGTTGAAGATCATATGATAATGTAAATACACATCTATATTATATATTATAAATTACAGAATTTCCCAGAAGAGTTGATCTGTTATTTTCAATTATGTTATTACACTTGAGAACAAGAAGTGGTAACATTCAATCCTGCTTACCCTGAGGGTCCACTTCCTTTGCCAGCTTCAGGGCATCTGAGTTGGCCAGGTCAGTGTTAGCTGGAGTCACAGCCAGGATCAGGCAGTTCTCTCGAGAGATGAACTGCATTATCATGTCTCTGATCTGCTGCTCAATATCTGGAGGCTGATCCCCCACTGGCACTTTAGTGATTCCCGGCAAATCGATAAGGGTCAGGCTTAAGACTACATGGACAACGTGGATAACAGAACTGGTTAGCATGCCACACATGACATAGAGGTCAACACATCTCTGGCTGCAGACAAGTTTTGGTCACAAAAAACCCTACATAACTACCTTTACAGGCAGATAAATATGTCAACAGTTGTCAACAGTTCACACAAAATGCCTGACAATCTGCAGAGGTTTGTTTCCCTGATGGTCTTACATCTCTGGATTTAATAGTACTATTTAAAATTTGAAATAAAGCACCTGGTATAAAATGATACTTATATCAAATATTCTTGAGGGCTCTAAGACACATGAACACGGCTTTCTGAGCTTTGTCCAACAGGAACACAGGTAACAGACCACTCTCATTGCATCCTCCAAATAAACCAAAACCATTGCTTGGATTTTTTCTTAATAAAATGTTTCTCTAACCAAGCTTTCAACCGTGTCTCCAATTTAAAAATTCCCAAGAAACAATCAATAGCTAGTCTAACTTATATAGCAAAACTGTTGTTAAGGGGCTTGGGGATATGTTGCTGGTTTGGGGTTTTTTGTTTTTTGGGTTTTTTTTATCTGTGACATCTTCAGAAAAGTCAGAAAGATGAAAAAATTAACCCATCAAAAAAACCTGGTTTGCCCTGGTATGATTTCCCCAGTAAAGGCCACAGTGCCAACTAGAGGCACCCTGGCTTGGGGTAAGCATCCTGCTGCTGGAGTAACAGGGCATCCTTTAGACAAATGAGAAAAATGGAATTCCTAGAAAGGAAATACCAGAAGTGTATTTGGAGTCTGGTTAATATAGACAAATGTGGCTAAACTAAAAGACTGATCCTAATAAAACAAAGCAAGAGCAATAAGAGATTTTCACTTTCTCCTGGAGTCTGCATGTTCAACAAACGAGCTATGAGGTGGGGATTAGTTGAGCTTCTCTGCAGCTGGAAAAATCAGATTCAATGGAAAACATTTTCTATAGATTGTCTTCATTAAACTGGGCAGATGGCAACCAGAGGAACCAACTTTGATATATACAGGGGGTCTTCAACAGAAAGCAACTTCAAACACTATTGTTGCCTGACTATATTTTTAGTGACAGCAAACAATAAATTCTCAGGAAGGCAGGGAGACACAGAGACTTTTTAGATCAGGGAATTCCTCTGGAGAGTGCCAAAAAGTTTTGTTATTAAGTTCCATTACTGGTCTTTACTAACTCAGCCTCAAACCTTTTCCAGCCCAGAAGATCAGGCAATAAGAACAGATACAAAAGGCTAGCCAGAATAATATGTTTATATGACATAAATGTAAAGTAGAATGATTTTACCTACCATGTGGAGAATATATTCTTAAATTAATAGGAACTGAAGAAATGCCTTTGTTCATTCCTGTTACTCTATCTGTTTCTACTTCAATCTCCTGACGAACTTCATCAAAATCAGTAAATTTCTTCCCTTTGCAGTGTAGAAATTCAGCATACTCTGTCAAGAATATCAATAACAACTCTGTATTTCACAGGCTCATTGACTTGCACACCCACTTTCAAGCCCCCAGTGTTCTTCAGATGTGTGGGCACAAAAGCTGGTCATCATGGCTACCAGGAAAGCATTATTATGATTGCACATACGAAAACCAGCCCTCAACAAGAAAGGTGCAGTTTAAAGTTGATTGGATGTGATTTACTGCCCATATCTTTAGCACATCATCTTCTGGAACAATGGGAAAGATTCAATTACATGCCATTTACAGTAATAGAATAGAGAACAGATTGAGATTCTGAGTTTTCATCTGATCTCATTTGCCTGTAATATATCCTAAATGGAAAAGTAATTCAAATTCCGTACCATGAAAGATTTTTAGCATTTGTTTCAAAAACTAACACCCCATGTTATACAGAAATTTAGTAAAGGAATTCTGTAAATTTTTACAAGTTCAAAATGAAAATAAGATCACTTAAAAACAGTCATGTTTTTAACACAGCTTCTCATTTCCTAAAAGTTTTCTGTAGTCTAAATATGAGTCATGTTTACAAGTTTGCAAAAGTGTCTACAGAAATAGCTGTGATTTTGCTGAAGTGGGAGAAAACAAGTAATTCCCAAGTCTTTAATATCATACAAGTTGTTGTTTTACCTCAGAAGAGCATCAACCTTCAGGAATCAGAGACAGATAATTTGTTAGACCCAAACTTGACACCAAGTCCCTGTTTTGACTTTTGAATCCCGATATTAATACTAATTATTGCAACCTTTTGGTTGCCTGCATAACCAAAAGCACATCCCAAGATTTTAAAACTGGAGTTTCTTCCTTCATAGCAGAACACAAAAATTTATCTACATAGTGAGGCTGCCACCAGAAATAATGACATAAAGAGAAATTCCAGACACCAGCTCACATCCTGTCCCCAGCAGGTCTGAGCAGTAGCACTGGAGAAAGGCTGAAAAGACTTGTGCATGTTCCAGCTCATTTCACCCTGCAATTGAGGCCTGATCTCAAAGTTCCCTTTAGAAGTTTCTTCCCCAGAAAATGTTACTTGGTAACAAGGCCACAATTGCCAGTGCAAAGAGCTTGCTTGGTACTCAAAGAACAGCAGCTGAGAACACCAGATGTGAGAGTATGGATTAAAAGAGGACCTTATGTGTCAGTACTGGAGCCTGTCCCCCAGAACTTTCCTCAGTAACTGTTACTATTACTGACAGAGATGTTAAAAAAAAAAAATAAAAGTAATAAACAGTCAAAATAGCAATGAATAGTTAAAGCAAACTGTCAGGAAAAAAGGACAGAGTGGAGGGGGGAAACATAAAATACCCACCTGTCTGTGCTACAATACCATAATCTCTGCAGATTCAGTGTGTAAGGGACAGGGAAACTCAACCTTGTTCAGACAAAAATACATAACTTATTTTAAAAACAAGAGAGAACCTAACAAAAAAAAGCACCTATTTTATATCTTTTTTTCAGCTCCAGAAGCAAAATGACAATGAATAGGAGTTTTGTTTCATTGTCCACTGTTTATTAAAAAAAACAAACCCAGAGTATGTTCAAATATTTCCAAAAGAAAAATAACATGGTGCACAGAATAAAATTGAGAATCTACATTTGTAAAATTTGTCATCTCAAGGTTGGCAAATAGATACCTAATGAAAACAAGAGCTGACAAGTGGTTCATATTTTATCCCACTTCTTCATGCACAGCCCCTGGAATAAAAGATATGTATTCTTCTAAGGTTTGTTTTTTTTAACCCCAGTGGATCATCAGATTTTCTCAGGAAATTATTTCTAAATGCAGTAATTACTAGTTGGTGCCCAGCTGTAATCAGTTGACTCTGTGCTAGCCAAGGAAGCTTTTCTCTTTGTCACACTCACTAACAGATTCACTATGTGACAAGGCTTCAAAACAAATCCAAACAAAAATGTTTGCTACTTTTTAGCTGGGTTAATATTTCTGGAATCCCCTTGCTCTTGGTGCCATCTGTGGTGCCAGCAGTGCCGCAGGAATAAACCCCACGGTGGTTCCTAACCTGCAGTGCCACACACAGCCTACGGAATAAGAATTCCAAGGCACAAGCAGCGCTTTGTTCTGCTCCTTTCAGCCCTCAGCCTGCCCTTGGCAGTGATGCCTTCAGCCAGCCTGGACAAGCACATGCTTTAATGCAATCTTCACTTTCCAGCTTTCATGCATAGAAGAATACTAAGAAAATGTTTTGTTTATGTTTTTGTGGGAATGGACACAAAGCCAGGCAAGAAGAAGTGATCCTGCCTGACGTTTAGCTTTCAAACATGTATTTTTTGTGTAAAACTAAAGTTACATTAAGAGAAAGAACAATTAGATACAAAATTGAAACAGTCCTTGTATGTAAAATAATTCTTTTCTTCCCCCAGACTGATTAAAAGCACCTTGGATAACATAGAATGAAAAGGCTACCATAGCATAAGCTCCTTCAGTGAATCCACAAGTGATTAATTAGCTCTTCAGTTTTGATTAAATGAGACAAATCATACAAACGAGTGATATGGGATCACATCTTTTAAAATGCTCCTTATTTTTCCTGTCAATTATATCTCCCTATGCCTTTATGATTTAATCTAGCACAATGATATATTGTTATGAGCACTAAACAGCCATCGATATTCTCAAACTATTTAAATTATGTAAATACTTGAGATATTTCATACATTTGTCTCTAAACTAAAGAGAGACAAATGACAGGGATCAGCCCTTAGGAATCCATAAGGGATGTTTTGGAAAACATCCTTGATCCACATCAGAAGTTTACAAAGCCCAAAGATTTTACTGTGAATAGAATAATGTGTTACTAGAGGACAGGAATTCGCCAAGATCAGAGACCTGGATTCAGAACTGCTCCCAAACTGATTTCAAGCAGAGTTGCTCCAAGTTGGTGGCAGTATCCAGAGCAGAGTACTCGAAAGGGATTGAAAGTGGTCCAAAAAGGTGGCTCATTAAATTGTAGGCTGGTAGTAAACATTTTAAATGTATGCAGCACAGGAGGAATATCTGCTACTACTACACCTTCTATCTGCCAGCCCCTTGGGGAGATATCACTCAAGCAACACTTTTTACCTTCAATAAAGCATCTCCCAAAGCCTCAGAACTATTCCTAAAAGGGTGATTTCAAGAGGTTTTTTTAAAAACATGCAAATAAACATCATCAGCCAAAGTACTTCACCTTTTCTTTGATGATGGACAGCTTTTTCTGGACAAAGTAAATGCAGTTAAGTGAATCTGGACCATAGCAAATCATTCAATGGTGCTTCCTTGAAAAGAGAGGAAGTATCAAAAGCCCTTGTTGTCCTACCCAATCTACAATCCCTCTTCTGCTTTGCCATTTCTGTAGCTTTTCTAACAACCTGAAGATGAAGTACTCAAAACTGAGTTATTCCACTGCTAACCTTCAAGCAAAAAGGCTACAAGAAATAGAAGTACTATTTGGTATTTCCTGAAGACAGAACAGAAAATCCTGGCAATGCAGAGAATTACAAGAATATCACAGCAGAAGATATTAAACATGGAAAACAGTGTCAAGCTGATGAAAGTAACTACCACAAGATAGCAGGAACCAGTGAAAAGGTTCATTAGAAGGGTACACACTGGTACCAGAGGAGGAAAAGCATTCTTTTGGATGCCATCATTTTCCACAACCTTCAAAGTTTTTGTTTGTAGAAAGATTTTCTTTCTGTTCTTTCAATCTTTTCCTATGGATGATGCTTTCTATAGTTCCAAGCCCTCACATAGCCCTCCTCCAGGCATTTTTTCCTAAATTTACAGAGGCAGGGTTCTCACCAGAGCTCTCTCCTTCCCAGGACTGAGAAAATGCAGGACCTTGTAAGATTGCATTTCTGTGATGCATCTTGTACAATGTTTCCTGCTGTATTTTATGACAGCATGACATCAGTGAGTTATGCTCTGTCAGAGATTCACTGTGAGCACCAGCTCCTTTTCTAAACACCAACAGTCTCCTCAAATACCAGCCTTTCAGTACAGAAAAAAAACCCACATCCCAGCTCAATTGCTTCCTACTTTGGGGACATTTCTCTTCTTTTGCAAGCACAATTGCTAAACATCAGCTTAATAAACACACTCTGTTCTGTCATCCTACCAGAAATGCAAAATACTGAACATGACCTGGAGGGGTGTCCCTTCCACTCTGTGAACAGCTGTGCATCCATCTCACAGGAGTCCTTGCTAAATCATGTTTCCCAAGATTGCTTATGATATTTTCAAAAAATGGAAGATAATTTAAAAACCTTTGCTGTAGCCAAGATAAGATACCCACCATACTTTAATTTACAAGCCTGCTGCCCTGTAATAAAAAAAAAATATTGCACTGATATGACAGGGTTATTTCCTTGATGAGTTTGTGTTGGCTGCTGTTCACCTCAAATAACTTTCAGATTCTTACTTAATAACAGATTTCTTTCTCCTAAAACCTTTGACTGACTCTTTTGCCACTTCCCTTTACTATCTTTATGAAGGTGGGCATATATAGAGCAATTTTCCAATTTTAATGAGGGGATTCCATCTTTCCTAATGCTACTGAGTATCAATCTGGGATCAAGGAAACAAAAACCAAGTATTATTTATAGGTACCATTAATTTGTCCCAACAGGAGCTGAAGCTGTTAGAGGATTGTTTTTGCCACCAGATGGCAACAGAAGATGGCTATGCGTGAGTAGTCTTGTAATACACGTAATTTGGATTAAAACTCAACAACATCAACAGAAAAGAGCATCTGCAAGACTTCAGAAAAAAATCAGAATGTCCTTTGAATTTTATGATTTACTTTCCACTTAGTATTTTCATTAACAGAATGCAAACAAATGGGTATTGTAAATATGACTCATTTATCTAAAAAATTGCCTGCCTCAATAGTGATCTTCAAAATCTGTTAATCTGCTGAAGCAAGAAGAAAACCTGAAATTGCTCCAAAAACAGTTGTCAAAACGAGGAAAATAACTC